AAGACATTTTGAAACGGTCAAAAGGATAAAAACTAAAGTAAAGACATTGCCTTGTTTATCTCTTCCAGATCCCACAGCTTTTAAAATAGTTGAAACTGATGCATCTGATTTTGGATACGGGGGAATACTTAAGCAAAGAGTTAACAATAAAGATGTTCTAGTCGCCTTTACTTCTAGCGCTTGGAATGACACTCGACAAAATTATTCAACAATTAAAAAGGAAATGCTTGCTATTGTTTTTTCTATCAATAAATTTCAAAGCGATTTATTAAATCAAAAATTCTTACTCAGGATTGACTGCATATCTGCCAAATACGTTATCAATAAAGATGTTCAAATTTTAGCATCTAAACAAATTTTTGCTAGATGGCAAGCTATCCTTACTGTGTTTGATTTCGATATAGAATTTATTAAAGGTGATAATAATAATTTGCCTGATTTCCTCTCCTGAGAATTCCTACAGGGATATGGCCCTGTCAATATATCATCAAAAGACTCTCTCACATGAAGAGGAGAGAGCTTCTTCTCCCTTAACACAAAACAGTAAGGGAACATATTCTCATTTTTATCAGAAAACATTGGATAAACTTGTCATCCTTGAAACGTCTGATCAGACACTTTTACCGGTTGAAATGGCAGCAAAGTTTCTTCCCAAAGAATATTACTATGTTCCGACAATGTTTGGTAAAACTACCCTCTACTATGAGAAAATTCTTAAAGAAACAGAAAGTGCTTTCGCTCATCATAAATACCGAGTTAAAGAATACAGTTACTCTCGGCTAAGAATATATAATATTATTCTATTAAATGAATGGAACTCATATGGAAATCCCAATATTCCACGAAAGTTTAAAGAAAAAACTCAAATTGGTCCCCAACAATATAATTATTGGGACTATCAAGCTGCTTGGGAACATGTTTTGTATATTCAAAATCATCTGGGAAAGCATTCATGGTGGATACGTTTTATGAATCAAATGTGTCTACCAAATTGGTTTATTGAAACCTTTTGGGCTAAATTTGGAGCCATCAAAGAAATTATGCCAAAAGAGATCCTTAAAAAACAAGGAAAAAATATATCTCCACTAGATATGCTTCAAATATCTATGGAATTTGGTCTGCCCTGGATTATGCAATAGGATTGAGATTGTGTTAACGGTACACCATCTTATTTCGCAAGAAGTATTTCTATAAAATGGTATGATAAATGGAATATTGCAAACTATCTTAATAGAAGAAAAGGCTCTTTGCTCCCAGACTATAGTCCAGAATATGGAATAAAATCAAATCCTAGAAGATCTGATATGAAGGCTATACAAGAAAGCCTTTACGACAAATTTGCGCTACAATATCCGAATGCAAGTGAAGAAAAACTGAAATCCTTAACGTATGATGAAATGCTAATGATACTAGCACCAATGGATACTACGTCCTCTACTTCAGAACCTGCTAAGCCATCTGAGCCTGTTAAACTAAAAGAGGAACCTGTGATGGAAGATACTCCTATGGATAGCGAAGACTGTTTTGATAACAATGGCGACGATTGCTATGGTATTGATCTGTGATATACCATTAACTTATGAAAAAATTCATATACCATTAATATATGGTAATTGCTGATTAAATATCAACGGCTTAAACACCAAGTCGATCAACCGTTATCTTTTCCTAAGTTTAATAATAAACTAACTTTTATACAGATTTCTTTCACAGCTAAATAAAGCAAAATAAAATAATAGCCTATCTGCTTTGGATGCTGGAAGATGCTGCAATTTTTGTCAAAAAGGCTACGCTACTCTACACTTCTTAGGTTCTGACAAAATTGAAGTCGGTGGGACCCTCAAGCAATTTTGGTCAAAAAGGCTAGGCTACTCTACATTTCATAGGCTTTGACAGAATTAAAGACGGTGGAACCCTCAAGCTTTATGGAGAAGAAATGAATCTTTTGCATAGTTCCGAAAGAAGTCTATAAAAGGAGAAGGAGTTGATGAGTTCGGGGAGGCGTTTTGGAGAGTTGAAGTCTTATCCTCTCTAGTGAAATCCCTTCAGTTTCCCTTTTTTAAGTTTTAAGTTTTAGCTTGAGTTTGAGTGAGGTTTGCTTTTAAGTTTTCTTTTGAGTGTTTGTAAGATAAGTGTGCTCTACTACTACTAGCTTCAGGAGATCACCAAGCTTTCGGTTTGTAAGTGTTTAAGTTTATTTTCTTTCAAGTTTGTAAGCGTTCTATGTAAATACTATCTAGTTTATATATATATAAGAACAAGAGATTAATGAGTATCCTTGTCATAGGAGAGGATTTCCTCCTTGAGGCCTATGTGGCACAATCCCCACCATCCTCATAAAGTAGGAGAGAGAGTGTGAGTTAGTGGGGATTTGTACCTACTTTATGAGGATGGTGGGAATTGTGCCACATAGGCGATAAGGAGGAAAATCTCCTCCTATGATAAGGATATATATATATATATATATATATATATATATATATATATATGAAAAAGTGAATCTAAGGTGACACCCTAGGCTCCCACCTAAGGATGCGGTCAAAAATCACATCATTTCCTAAATTTTTTTTGCAATCCGCTCCGTTGAACTTGATCTACACGTTTTTAAACTCAAACACACCAATTTTGGGGTGAACCCATTGTGTTTTGACCCTTTATCCACTCGCTACAATTTTAACGGTTTTGAATGAATAGAAATTTTTGCACGACTCAACGAATGGTCAAAACACAATGGGTTCACCCCAAAATTAGTGTGTTTGGGTTTAAGAACGTGTAGATCAAGTTCAACGGAGCGGATCGTAAAATTTTTTTAGGAAATGATGTGATTCTAGGCCGCGTCCTTAGGTGGGAGCCTAGGGTGTCACCTTAGATTCACTTTTCCCTATATATATATATATATATATATATATATAATTATATTTATATATATATTATATATATATAATATATTATATATATTATATATATATATATTAGCAAAACAAATCATAAAATTACAAAAAAGTCTGGGACGACCTAGACCGGCGCCGATTTGGCCCGTACCTGAACCGGCCAAAACCCCGTGTCTGGGACGGACTGGGCATTTTGCCCGGCCAGAACCTAAAAATCCAGGCAGGGCCGGCCCGGGACCAGCCCTAATTTTACCTAATAGTGCACCTATGAAATCAAAATTTATTACAAACTTACTAAGTTCGGTAAAGTTTGCGCACAAACTCTTTTAGAATACACTACATTCACTCATCAATAAAATTGTATATTAAAATAAATGTGAAATTATTTAATTTGGTCTACAAATACCTTGTCAGAAGTAGGTGCATTTCGTTTGCTTGAACTAAAAAACTTTGCATAACTTAAACCCAAACCTAAACCCAAACGTGTCCGATAAACTATTACAAACCTAAACCCAAACATGGCATACAACGTAAACATTTAACCACGCACAATTAGGGGTGCTAAACCGTGTCCAAGAAAATATCTGTAACCGTATCCGTTAGGATACGAATATGGTTACTCAAATCTATAACCGATAGGATATGGTTACAGATATGGTTTTGTAGTGAAATATCTGTATCCGTATCCGAAATATCCGAATACATATTAGTCATACTCTTACGATAGTTTCGATTCTTAGATTATGGATTTGTGGTTAATTTTGATGATCAAGATGTCTAATCTTAACTTTTTAATTATAATGGACATATTAACAAACTCTTTTGTATCACATGAACTATGTTTTTCTCAATACTATCTTGTTTTCTCATATCTGTTTTGTATCTGCATGCATATCCGCTTATATATCCGTATGTATATCCGTAACCGTATCCGATTTTAGCGGATATGGTTATAAATTTTTCTTACCGAGGTATATCCGTATCCGTATCCGTATCCGAGATGGATAAGCGGATATGGATATGATAAGCATCATATCCGAGCCGTATCCGGACCGAATGCACCCCTACGCACAATGCATGTGCACCCAACTCAACATTTAACCGCGCGCAAGGCATGTGCACCCAACCTAGTGTACATAAGTTTACAAATAAAAAAGAGTCATAAACCACCAACAATTAATTGTGAACACTTTAACGATGCCGAGTGCCATTATAAAAAAAAAAAATTCAAACGAACGAAGGAGAACCACAATTTGTTCAAACCTCTCAGTTCTTTCAACTCCCGGGAGACATGATCTCTACCCTATCGGAGCCACCCATGTTTGCTTGTTCAAAGATTTGGAAACAAAGAACAACCCCTCCTTTTTAAAAAGGCAGATTGCGGGGGGGGCAACGTGGGCGATGACAACCCTTTTGCGTTCCTGACGGGTAACAGGCCCTTCGCTCCTACTTTGGGCCGTCCAGTCTCCCTGCGATGCCCATTACAAGCATCCAAGGCCTCTCGCGTGCTTCGTTCGGATACCGGTGGGGGCCCCTCATGCGCTGCAGCTTCCCGATTCGTTCGAAGCGCCGAAATCTCTCTGGCACCGAACAGCGGATCCGCGATGCGATCAGGACACCCGGACACGTATTTATAACTAGCTCGTGAACGCCATTTGTGGCGTTGCTGTAATATGTTTGAAAACTGGGGGTGGTTCGTAGACCCCCCCCCCAGCTACCGCCGGAGTTCCGTCCCTCGGGGGTGCTAGCTACTGCCCACCTGTCGCGCTGTGGGACGTCTAAGGACACGTGGCGATAGCACACCAGCTACGTCACCGGTCCAATCGGTTCTCAGGTAGCGAAAAGGATACGGTATACCGCTTCCTTCTTCAGTACAGGCATAAAGAACAGGGATTTTTTACGAATACATCTTTGGACCTATTTGTACAAACAGTGAATTCTTTTTACTCTTAAAACTATTAAAAAGATTTCGATCGAGTCAAATAGGCCTCCTGTAGTTCTATTGTATTGGTGAGAATACGCCCTTAATTGCTTCCTCCTTTAGTTCTATAAATAAGTAGAACAGCATGGAGTTTATTCATAATTGGGCTATACTAAGGGGTCTATTCGCAATTAACCCCATACTACTATATATATACCATTGACGTGCAGTCAGTACACACACGGGTAGATATATATAGATACACTTGGAAACTTCAAGCCAAGCTAATTAATTATGCTCCAAATTTCAACAGGATAGAGAGGAGATGGGAGAACTAAGCGAGGGCGGGCTACTGAGGAGGTTTAGGGACTTGGAGGTGAGCCAAGAGAAGCTGAGGGAGCAGCTGGGACTAGTTTTAAGGGAAGGAACAGACAGGGAGAGAGAGGATACGAAGAGGAATCGCGATGAATACGATGCTGAGGTCATACCGGGATCTTTTTCGCATCCGTATCGGAGCGTTTTGCAGCATATCGGCCACGCTGTTCATGTCTGCCGATACGACACGGGGGAGATCATATACTGGTAAGTTTATGTGTTCTTCTTAATTATTCTTTTTTTAATTGGTTCATTTCAGAGTTGTTCTCAAAGAGAATTCCTTTTAATTTATAAGTTTGTAAACAAAAACGTTGAGCGATCAAATTAATGATTTTCCGGGTAGTAGCAAGTAATTTTTGTGTTTAATATTTTTAGTTAACAGGACTGGAGGAATGAGCTCAGTTATTTAATTAAATAATTCTTTTTTTATGCAAAAATAAATAAAAATATAGAAAAATAATCCATTTAGTTTGTTACCAACTATCATCTTGTACCTTCTTTTGTCGGACCATCTCCCTCAAATTCAACCCAAACAGCATTTTCTAATTACAGATAATACCTGGCTTATTTTTAGGTGGATTACAAACTATGAGGTTTGACTAAGTAAAAGATAATTATACCCGTTATGATTTCACGAAATCTTAGACCTCGTTTAATAATTCACTGCCAACCTCATGTCCCTTTTTGCCTTTTTGGCAACAATTATAGATTATAATCCACCCATTTGCCAACATCTGCTAATCAAAGTCACTCTCGTGGACAACGTTATGCATCACATATCATCCTTAAATTAACATGAATTTGGCTTTAAACCAACAACTAATATTAGGTATTGACTCAAAATCAGTAACCGGGAAATATCTGAGTAGTAAAGTGAAGGGTTGTGTTGTAGGAGGTTATTCGAAAGTAAAGAAGGAAATAATTGTTCCCATAAAACATCATTGAGGATTTACACAGCATATTCAACAAAAACAAAAAAAAAACGAAGAAACAAAAAAAAAATCACAAATGCAAAATCTTTGCAGCCGATTTAAACATTTAAATGTTTATTAATTTAAATAAACAACAGCAAAGAATGTTGAACGCTGTAAATGGATCATGGATGTAAACAAATATCCTGATGTAATTCTTTATATTGCAATAAAAAGATACACATAAATCAGCATGCAATTAATCCTACCAAATCTACCGATTGTTCTAAATTCATCTCAGTAACCGTATTCCACAAAATTCATGTCAACAAATTGAACATTTTGCTGAAGCTTGTCCTGTAATTTTTGTCACTCTTATATTAGTTATATGATTGTCACGCAAAAAATAGATCTCTAGTTATCCACCTTTGCCTGGCTCCTTGTTGAGCTATATAACCAAAAAAAAGATTGCATGGATGAACGAAAGTAGGTATTAAATCATAGTTAATTATCCCATAATTTGAATAAGCTAAAATAATATGATTTGCTTTTACAAGTACAGTAAATTTTTTTTAATAGTTATACCGGCAGCTACTCCCAATGTTTTGTCAGGTATAATGATCTCCTCTTCAAAAGATATAATGAATCTATTGGCCTTATCGTCGTCTACATTCTCAAAAGCCACCTAGGGATATCATTTATCAGGGGAGAAAGACTTTTGTGGATATGATATTCATTGTTACGGCCTAAAAACTTGCTGTCTTTTTCTCATGTCAGTTATTAGTTTGTTTATGTAGGAGAATTTTATATATCTGAGGACGCTAACTTGTTTGTCCCCCTCATATGTTAGTTATACTAAATGTAAATCTGTAACACTAGATTTTGTTACATCTTCCTGATTATTAACATCATCAAGAGCAGGTTGCATCATGATATGTCTATCAGGGCGTTTTAAATTTGATCTTTTTGGTCAGGAATCAAGCGGCAGAAAATCTCTATGGATGGAGGGACCATGAAGCACTTGGCCAAACGATTGCTAATCTGCTTATAAATCCTGAAAACCATCAAACTTTTGAATGGATCATGGAAAAATTGAGCAGAGGGCAAAAATGGTCAGGTCGGTTTCCGTTTAGGAAAAGATCAGGGCATATGTTCATGGCAATGGTAACAAAGAGTCCATTGTACGAGAATAATGAGCTGATCGGTATTATTACTGTATCACTTGATAGTGCTATACTTGATGATATGAACAAAGAGAAATCAAGAATGTATTGGAATGAATCTCATGGTGTGCAAGGGGAACAAAAGCCGAATTTTGGAAGCTTGCGTCCACAGACAGACATTGTATCATCTGTATCCAATCTGGTATGAACTTTGACTTAACCTTTCAGTGTTATTGGGGTATATTACAAAAAATCCCCTAATATTTGCATGACTGACAGAAATCTCTCAAAGTTTTTAAAAGTAACACTTTACCCCCTCCTTCCACCCCTCCTTAATTTGTCAAATGATCATGCCACTGCACCAAAACTCCAAGTTTTGGTGAGAATTATAATCTTATACTCTATATAACATACTCTCGTAGGTTAAATCTGGACTCATAAAGTGCTATTCTTTTAAAAAAAAATATGTTAGAAATTCGTGGTCAATAACCTTGGTTGCTCTAATAGCATGTTGAATGACCTTGCCATTGTACAAAACTCCGAAATTGTGATGAGATTCGAGGATATGATTTTATAACATGTACAAAATTAACCCGCCTATAAAAATTAAATATCATATGATATGGTAATCATATGCACTTCCATATGATTATCGTATTGAAAATTGATAATTAGAATCAACAATACATTCTAAATTATTGGGCTCGGCTACATGAATCCTAGTCTTCCATTTATTTCTGTTATAGGTCATCTCCTCTATCAAGTAAACAATTATCATATCTTTTTTAATTGTTTTAACCAAGTTTTTTAGGGCTAACACTAGTCCTCTCTGCTCCATTAACTATAACTTTAGTGCATATCCTATGAATGCGCTCATTTCTTATCTTATCTTTTAGTGCATAACCACAAGACCATCATATCACTCTCATTTCTGCTACGGTCATTTTTTACATGGGCTATTTTTGATTGCCCACATTCTGATCCATAAAGCATTGATAGTCTAATAACCATCCTATAAAAGTTTCATTCCAAACATACTAGCATTCTACGATCAAATGTGACTCCAAAAAGAACTCCTCCATTAGTCATCCTATTATTAGTAAATGTACCGCATCATCCTCAATTTCATCATCTTGATGAATAATTGATCCTAAATAGTAAAAGTGATTGCTCTTAGGTATCTCTTGACCGTCAATATGCACTATACAGTCATTCCTCTTTATAGTTTTACTATCCTTACATTTCATGTACTCTATTTTTATTCTACTAATTTTAGAACCTTTTAAAGTTTTTAATTCATGAGTCATTAGGATTCATAACATGACTATTGTTTACACCGGCTCTCGACTACCGAACACAACCCTCTTTTATTTTGGCTTGGGTTGAGCAGTAAGAAGATAGACAATAAAGCACAATATTGGAGGAATCTAACATTGAAAATTGATGATTACCTAATAATAATAATAAGTTAATAATGA